TGAAAACCGGGCAGTCAGAGTTGTCAACGGTCCAGTTCAGCCCAGGCATTTCCAGTCCAGCCCGTAACAGAGCCTCCCATCCAGGCAGAAATGGAGATCCAGCTATCTTTTTATCTTTTTAGCATTGGTATTTATTTTTATAGTTTTGTAAAAGGCAGTTCCGCCTAAAAACAGTTTAAATTTCATCAACCATTCTGGCCAAAACAATCTCTTTATACTGAGAGAAATTGTTAAAGTCCTCACCAGTCTGAGGCAAGAAAAGAACTTACTTGGGAGATATTCCTCACCCAAATTCACAATCGTTTGTTTGCAGAAATCAGTAACTTGGGGCGCAAGTTATCTATTCCAAACTAAGTCTGCTAGAATTTTTATTACTAGCAGTGGCACGCTCGCACACCAAAGAAAGCTGACTTGTTGACCAGTCTATGGTTCTCAAGGCAGTGGGGAACTTTGCCCTTCCATCAGAGGAGTAAACGCAAAACGGGTAAACAATATTGGTGGAGCAAGGTATTGCCACCACATCCTCCTCCTCCTCATCCTCTGCCACCACCACCTCCAACCTCACCTCCTCCTCATTCACCACCATCGCCGCCGCCACCACCACCACCACCCTCCAAAACCTCCACATCCACCACCACCACCATGTTGCCACTACCACCACCACCACCACCATCACCTCCACAACTACCATCCCCACCACCACAACCATCAACTTCGCCTTCATCTCCACCACCAACTCCACTCCATCACTATCACTACCACTACCACCACATGATTAGTGCATAACACTTTTAACATCATGTCTATTTTAGTCATTATTCACAGTTACAACAATTTTATATTAAAATTTACCAAACGGTTTTAACACTGCTTTTTGTACTAACAGCACTTTAAAAATAGTGTTTACTAAACATGGAGCTGCTTTACTTTACAGCTAATTATTTTTAAAGCACAGCAGAAGCAACTTTTTTTAAAAGTGACAGCAATCCCAAACTAGGCCTTAGAAATCGATAATTCGACTGGTTCAAATTCTCTTTTCAGGTTCGTATTCGATTGCATTTTTCGATTCGGTTTTTATTAGAGTAAAACAGGAACCAAAATTGGTCCGATTTGATTTTGGACCAAAGGTTGACTGTTTTAGTCAATACAGTTTTTTCGTTTGTAATTCGCCTCTGTGCTGCTTTGATTGTATCAACTTTACTCGGGTCACTGTTGTTTATTCTTATCTCACCTGGTGAAGACTAACAAGTTCCATTGTGCATGTTAGTCAGTAAAACTGACCTTCAGTAGTAAAGTAGGTTATATGCAAGTGCACGCAAATATTCTTGCTGCGCCCTCAGAACACGTCTTCTGCGCTGCTCTGTGTTCTTTCAACGTCGAAAGTATACACCCTACATATCTGGCAACTGTTCTTGACCAACAGGTGTGGAAGGAAATAGAAATGAGATTTAATAAAATAGCTTGTACTGAGTCATGTGATCCCAGCATGAAGTGGCTATCCAGTCAGGTCACCATTGTGCGCAACCCTTCATCGGCATTTAGGAGTGACTGCAAGTGCACGAGCAAGTCTTCACTGGTACAGCACTGTCGAGGATATTGATGACTTTATCCAGGCCCTCCATGACACAGTCAGCTTCTTTAATTCCTTCAAGTAGTGGCTTGTACTCTTCCCATCCTTGCCAGGCTTCTGTAAATTTTGTATAAACTTTTCTACGGACACACACCGTAAGCTTATATGATCTGAGTATAGTTTGTGCAATAATCTGTTAAGACTTAAGAGGGATTCTTATTTTCAAGTCAACAGTTTGTTGTCTCACCTTGCCATGAAACTAATTTTAGTCTCACTTAAACTTTATCGTTAAATCTGTCAAAAAATCTGTTAAATTACTAGCAAGACGGAGGGCTATTCTTTTGCTGAAATGTATGGCAAGTCAAGAATTTATTTGAAGTATATTATTTTCCTCACAAATCCATGACAAGTTAAAAGGAAAGAACATTTACACAAGGGGCAGATTACTCAAAATAACAAAAGAAACAAAAAAGCAAAGCATGATAGGAAGTGGATGGGATCCACGCATATGACTCAACCCAATGCCATGTGACTTGGGAATCTTTGGGATAAAAAACAAGTCAAAAAAAGCCAAGTGGCTGGTGAGTTCGTTTGTAAATATAACTTCACTGCTCTCTGCTGCATCTTCTCTGAAGGAAAAGCATTTGATTACCTTATATTCCAATTATCCAAAACAGTTGAACGGATGAGCACAACAACAGAAGAATCGGTGCTTGATTTGCTGCCCAAGTTCAGATTCCATCCCTCTGAGGAGGAAATGGTGAACCTAGGGTACAGCCTCACAAATCTCATCCCACCAACAAAGAAGTTTGTAATCAGTAATGTCCTATTTTCCCGTGCAGAGCCTTCATGCGATCTAATAATCAACTTGAGTTGAAATTTATTGAGAAATTTCTCAGTGCAGTCAGGACACCAAATCAGACCAACGCCTTTCTTTATATTTAGAGAAAGACCAAGAGTAATTGAGGAATCAACCACATCACATCACAAGGAATCAAGTTGGGACCTTCCCATAGAGGATCATCAAAGAGAAAGAAGTGTCGTAGTAATGCTCCATGGGAAGGTCCCAACTTGATTCCTGGTGACGTGATGTGGTCGGATCCCTCAATCACTCCTGGTCTTTCTTTAAATATAGAGAAAGGCATTGGTCTGATTTGGGGTCCTGACTGCACTGAGAATTTTCTCAATAAAATTCAACTCAAGCTGATTATCAGGTCTTCGTGGATCACATGAAGGCCCTTTTTTATGTTGCAGTACTTTATTAAGAATTCATGCCGTAAGATTACTAATTACAAACTTCCTACTTAACTTGTTGAGGAATTTGGTGTGCCATTTTTGGGGCAAGGATCATCCATAGCATAAGGATGTCATCCCACTCTGATGAAGTAAAAGTTGCAATTGATGCTCTGAGCCTTGGGCAACAAGAATTGGAGAACTAGTGTTGTAAGCTGAGTGGCCTTCTTCTCACCAAAGGAGGTATTGCCAACGGCACTGAGTGCGTGGTGGAGGCAGCAACAAGATTGTCTCATAGTGCCTTTTCTGTTCTCTTCAGTCATGCCCAAGTGGCTCCATACTTGCAACTGATTTGGAAAATAAAAGCCATTTAAGAATTCTCAATCATCTTTTACTTTTATCACAGTATAAATCAACAAAACTATACATACGCTGACCTTCCAGTTTTCAGGTAGAATGGACATTCGGGTTCAACCTGTTAGAAGCAAAAGATACATGATCAACATAAATTTACAACATCAAAAAGCTGGACGTAATGCAAATAGAATAATAAAAGGCTCATGTGTTGCTTCATCCTTACCGGTCTTACAGGAAGCTCCTTGGAGTTAAATGATAGTGCAGGAGGCTTCACAGCAAATCCAGTTCCCTCTAGCTGAATAGTTGTCCCAATTTCTCCAATTTTATTCTCTTGCTGGGCTGATGGTATCTGGATATCTTTCGGATGATGAAATTTGCAGGTTGCACCAAACTTACATTGCCCCATTTTCAAGTAGAACTGGTTAAAAATTATGAAATGGAATATAAGCAAATCTACATCATAGTAGATAGATAATGCACGCCAAAAAAGAAATGGAAATATATCTTACTGCGCATGGGGGTTCAGAAGGCCTCTCAGGTAAGGCAAAAACATCAGAATTTTCTGAAGCAACCTGACACCAGGGTAGAGCATCATATCTTAATAAAATAGGGAATAGGTCCAGATGACAGTTAACTCTTGGAAAATCCACATATCATTTGCACTTACAGCAGCAGCTAGTTTGTCCTTCGGATGATTGAACTTGCACCTCATACCAAATTTGCATCTTTGAGTCTTTATAAGGTACTACAACATAAAAAAGGGAAAAGAATACATATCCAGTTAAATTGTTTAAAAATATCATTTCTGCAAAAAGAAAAAAAAAATTGAATTGCTACTTACTGGACAATCTGGCTCTCCAGGTCTCTCTGAAAGGAATTCACTTGGAGCGACAAGTGGAACCTAATGAACAAATAATAAACTTCTGTTATGTTATAGCAATATAACTTTTGTCTCTTTATCAATTAATAAGCAAATAGACAATAGCACACAAACAGCTGCAATCTGTGATAAACAAATTCAATTTCTAAAATCAATAGATTCCTGATCTAAGGTGTAATTCAAGCAAAACAACAACATATACAAATTTATAAATAAACTCAATCCTAGACATGTATTTATAAAAAAACTCAAGCACTATTTAAACATAGAAACACACCCAAAATTAACCCCGAAGTCAACTTTTTGGGTGTGTTTATAAATAGGTTTTGAGTGTGTATAATGATGGGTTTTGGGTGTGTTTATAAAGTGTTTTGGGTGTTGAATTTTTTTATAATTTCATCCTCCATTTTGGTTGTTTTAGTGAAACAACCTCGTACTTGCTGATAAGCAAATTAAAAAAGCACACTAGAATCAGAAATACAATTGCATACAAGATTAACTTAGAAATAAGCTTAAATTAGCAATGTATGCATGCATCAAAGCAGCAAGTGCATTCCCACCCTTTGATCTCTATGAAACTAAGATTACGAACTTCCAGTAAACGTCTGTATTAAAGCAATGAACTTTAACCATAACCATATTCAACAATCTCACTTTCTTATCAAACAAACAATAAACAATTACATCACAACAAAAATTCGAGATAAAATGTGAAAAATATTGCAGCCCAGAAATTTTCCCGGTAACCAAACGGAAAGCGGAAGTACAGTTACAGAGAGCGGAAAGTGAAGAACCTTCTTAGGTTCGTTTGACGCCGGGAACGCCGGGCTCGACATCAGGAACGCTGGGACATCAAATGCGACGTCGCCAGATACATAGAGCTACTTCGGCTATGGTGGTCGGTGGGGGAGGCGGAAGGGTCCGACCCGGAAAGGTACCGTAGGGTCAGGTCGGATAGGTAGGAGTCGGTTAGGGCACGTGAGGTGTAGACGCTGGAGAGGCCGGCTGTGGCGGCGGCATCAGCAGCAGCTGATTGTGCGGCGCCGTATCCTTAGAGATGGCTCGATGTAAATCCCAAATTTATATGCAGACGCAGCAGTAGAAACTGTGAAATTCAAATTCAGGACACATGTTTAGGGTTTAGGGGGCCCGCGGACCGCGGACCGAAATGGGTAGCCAGAAGTCCAATGGTCCAAATATAAATAAATAAGTACCCAAATATATTTGAATCAAGATTAACTCAAGTAAATAATATGACTTCACATATATGATATAAAATAATTGTTAATAAGCTTTAAAACTAAAATAAACATAACTTTTCCAGAACTTAAATGCCCAAGACATTCAGAAGCCAGCATAAAAGAAAGCCTTCATTTTGTTGTTATCTCAAAGGCTCAAAAAAGGCTGATGGCTAAGTAGCATTACTCTTAGGCCCCGTTTGGTTCACGGAATCAATTTGAGGGGAAATCATTTCCCATGTCATTTCTCAAAGGATGCGAAATGGAATATTCATTTCTCACGTTTGGTAATGCTGGGAAGGTAACTAGGAGATACCACTTTATTTCATATCCTATATTTGTTTTGAGTAGGAATGAAAAACAAAGTTTGTATAAATTTTCAATTATACCCATACTAAATCAAATAAAAAAAGAATGCATTTAATGGTATATTGTAATTCTAAATTGTTAATGGGGACAAAATGGTCATGAAAAATGTGTATTTAATGTTGGCTCATTTTCCAAAACTTTCCCACGATAAGGGAAAACAAAACTCAAGTTGAGAGGATGACTTCACTTTCTTCCCTATTTTCCCATGGGCAGGCAACGATTTCTCATGCCTGAACTTACCAAACGTGGGAAAGCAATTTATTTCCGATTCCCAAGTCTCCTTCCCCATGAACCAAACGGGGCCTTAGTATAAATCCCAAATTCCCATTGTAACAAATTAGTGAGCTTAAAATTGTATAATTCAAGGCAAATGAAATAATGCATTATTTAAAATTTAATTGGTCATATATGGTTCGAGTGATAATAACATTATAAAGTGTAACCATGTACTAGTAATTTTTCCCTTCAAATTTAAAATTTTAAAGCAAATATACGCATGTAAAACTCTTCAGAGAAAAAAATGCACAACATATATTAGTTGTCAATCGGAATAAAGCATTCAACCAAATCAATTAAATCACATAAAGATAGTGCGAAAGAACCAAAGGTGAAAGCAATAAAATAACAAGGTTAACAACATGATTTTTATTTTTATTTTGTCAAAAGGGAGGAATTCATTAACAAGCCAAAATGAAACCGAACAAGGAAAAAAGTCCTAGACAGACAGGACGAGCAAAAAACTAAACTAAGGGCATGTTTATGTATTAGTAATAGGTATGGGAGGAAAGGGAATGATTTCCATTCCTGATTTCCCCTGTGTTTACTTGCAATCAGGAATTAAAAAATAAGTGGGCCCCACCTCAAAATCCGTAATCACATTCCCTCAAAACTGGGTATCAGATCAACTAGGGGTCCCTCAAAACTGGGTATCAGATCAACTAGGGGGAGTAGTCGATACGATTCCCATTCCTGTTTTCTCTTAATAACTTCCAAAAATACTCTTACCACTTTACCATAATTCTAAAATTAATTTGGATTCTGATTTATGCAAATTAGTAAACAATAACAATGAGAATCAATCCCATTCCTTTGCTAATTCCATATGTTTAGTAAACAGCTTAATGAGAATGATTCTTTCCATACCGATTCAGTAGTTCTCCGATTCCTAAATTTTTTGATTCCTTACTTTCTCCATTACTGATACGTAAACATGCCCTAAATGCAAGCTGCAAGTGGCCATAACACCGACATTGTAGAGTTGCTCTAAAAGTCGCCACCTGCAAAATGCCTCCATGCAAACTAAGAGTGAGGGCTGGGTAAACCATCCTTATTCAGAATGTGCATTAGTGAAGATGGGGGTCGCCTAACCCAAGTTTCCTTGTTCATCTTCACTCGAGCCAAATTCGCAATATGATCTGCTACCACATTTGCTGATCTTGGACGCCAAGTCCAGCTAGAAAACTCAAAGTTTGGATGGCCAATTTGATCCTAAATCCTACATAAGAGTGGGTACAACTCCCACCTACCACGTCTAATGTTGTCACTGATCCCACGGACCACCTCCAGGCAGTCCGACTCAAACTGGACACATCTGAAACCGTGTTCAATAGCTAAAGAACAGGCTTCAACAGCTGCCAAAGCCTCAGCCTCCTGCACAGAGTTTGCCATACAGGGAATAGCCATTGCTAAAAAAAAGGTTCCCATATAGTCACGAACAACCAGACCAATGCCATCCTGATTGGATGTGGGAGACCATGCAGCATCCAAGTTGATTTTAACTCTATGAAGCACTGGAGGAATCCAAGCATAAGAAGTAGTTTCCACAAGTGTGGGGGAGGGACAGTCCAAGCGGGTAGCGGTTACAGCGTCAACAAACTCCAATTCAGCAGTAGAGATAGCAAAGATGGTTGCTAATGGTGACATGGGTCTTCCTTTAATGACTACTTTACAGCGAAATTTCCAAATAATCCAACAAGTAAAAGCAATAGACTTAGCCACATGGGCCAAATCAGCTTCATTAAGGCTTGCCCGGATCACCACCTCAAGGAGCCACTCGCACATCGTAGTGATTTCACTTTTGCAAATTCTCATACTCAAAACACCTCCAAACCAAACAGGACTAACCCATGGACAAAGGAGAAGAATATGCTTGACAGATTCCTCATATTGATGGCATAAAGCACATAAGGGCGAAGATCTCACCCTTCTCCTATAAAGATTCTCATTTGTAGCCAAACCCCTTCTAAGAGCACGCCATAGAAATTTTCTAATTTTCGGGGGGCATTTTATTCCCCATATGAGACTCCAGATTTCAAGAGGTACTTGAGATGAGGTAGAAGCCTGTTTGATTGTCCTCGGGCAGCCAAACGGTGGATCCAGTGATATCCAGCCTTAATAGAGTAAATCCTAGACTTCTCCGAAGGCCAAATTAGTCTATCCCCTGCAAATCTTGACCCAATGGGAACTAACCTGATAGCTTGCTTCTCCGAATCACTAAGCAAACCCTCGATGAACTCAAAATTACCTCCTCTACTGTCATATTCCAAACCTCATTTGATGATGGAACACAGTGTGGGTGTAGGTCGGGCAAAGATAGGACCCATCAATCAATCCAAATTCTCGCCCTTGCTCCATTGCTAATTTGCCAATGAGCTCCAGTAATAATTACATCTCGAGCCTCAATAGCGGCGTCACCTTATTTTTGTTCCTTCAATAGGAGTAAGGTCAAAATAGCTTGCATTAAATTTGTGGTCGTAAACAAATTACTGAAAAAACAAATATATTTCGGTTCATTGCCACTGAATAATAGGTAAATTTCGGTCATATGACATCGAACCCTTTTCCACATTACGGTGGACTTCCACTACATCTTAAGTTAACGGCTGGTCAAACATAACCAAAATAGGTTCAATGTTTCAGTGGCATGCCACCGAATTTTCCTATTACGTTCAGTACTAGTGTGTTGCATGTAACCAGCGACCACCATGCAACCCTAAACTTGAAAAACGCCAAAAAATAAACTCATACCTCATTCGAAGCCTCCCTAACTTTAGTCTCACTCGTCGTGAATAAATATTAGGTATGTTTTCATCAATATAAGCATATAAACCTTGTTAGGGTTCTAGGAACATGATGGCTTGAGAAAAAAGTTTAACTAGGATTTCAGAAACGTACGTGGAGTGTAGTGAGCAAATTTAATTTTTATTTTAAATATTTTTTATCCTTAACGGTAATTACATACAAGGGTAAAATAGGTTATTCATGTTTAAATTAGTCTGGGGTCAAAAGAGCAAATTATGGGGTTAAAATGAAATCACCCTTTAAATTTTTTTAGGTCCATTTATTTGAAAAAATAAAATATACCTAATACACATAAAATTAATTGAAAAATGTTAATACATAAATAAATAAAAAAAACCCCAAAAACAAATTAACATAAAAAAAAAATTATTTACATCCCCCGATGTGTAAAGGAAAAGTAAAAGTGGCTTTAGAGCATCTCCAACCGATGTGTCAAACGTGCCACATAGACATTTAACAGCTATAAATAACATCTCACATCACTCCAACCGATGTGTCAAAGTTGATGTGGAATGAAGGCTGGAGGTTGAGATGTTATTTTTGACATCCCAAAAGCAAGATGTCAAATGAATATTTTATTATTTTTTCTTTTCTATTCTTTTTAATTAAAAATGAATCAACAATAAAATGTAATAAAATAATAATTTAATTTGGCATATCGGGTGGAGTGTAAAGCTGTGTAAGATGTCAAATTGCCACATCAGCCATCAAATTTAAATTTGACGTTCGGTATTTGACATCTCCCTTGGAGATGCTCTTAGACCTCCGAAAATATACCCCCCTAATTGTGGATCCTCTTATAGGCGAGCATATCGATTCATGTAGTCTACAATAATGAAAGTCCTGTAGGGGACTTTTTCTTCCTGCAGCTAACGGGCTGGGCTGCTGCAAAAGGCGGACTGAGGAGATTGCCCCTTTTTGTTTAGGTTCGAAAATTAAGCCCCAAAATACTTCGAAAGGGCAGCAAAACCTTAGGAAATATTTTGGATAATCTTCACCAATGAGAATAGTAGTGACTTGCAGATAGTTTTGGCATGCTTACAGATGGTTTTTAGCTCAGCATGAGTGGCATGAGGCATGGGGAGCAAAACCAACATGGGTTTAGCACTAAGAGAGAAATTAGGCTTGGTTTGTGAGAAATGAAAATGTTTAAGTAGGGAATGAGGTGTTTTGTGAGGGATAGAAAGAGAAAAAAAGAAAGGCAGGGTTCTTCCGGCAGCTGCCAGAAAAACGAATTGGAGAAGAAGATGAACAGTGCGCGAGTCTGAGTTTTGCAAGATAGAGAGAAAAGCTTGCTCTCTGCAGGTTGTGAGTTGAGTTTGTTGGGTAGGGGAAGGCTCAATTTATAGCTGCCGGAAATCACCATTTTTCAAGAAACCCTAATGGCTTCTACTTACTTTGGCTGAGCTTTTCTTCCTTTCTTCTTCCCTTCTCTGACTTCCCTTTCTTGGCAAAGATTGCTTCTGT